GCTACCTCAGGTGCCTGCTACTTTGAGTTCTTGCTCAGTTCCTGCTGAGTTCACTCGCAATAAAGTAGTTCCCGTTTCAACCTCCAAGTTGCTTGTCACCTCCCGGTTATTTGCCCAGCCGGACTGGGGCAGAAGACAACTGTCATTAACATTTTTAAGGAACTGATAAGTGAGTTTTATAATTCACAGTTTTTCATGGAGGATTTCAAGTTGTATTGTTGTGATTAAAACTGTGGGTATTGCGGTCAGGGTACTGAGTTTAATGCAGTGCCTAGGACTGTCCAAAACTATATATTTGTGCTAATTACTTGAACTAGACCTGTATTTAGAATTCTATATCAAATTAAAATAGATCAAATAAATTAGAAATAGAACAAGTGTGTATTTTTGAACTTTCTTCCAAAGAACATTTTTTTTTGTTCTTTCAAAATGTATGCTCATTTATCATTTAACCTCTAACATTCTTCTCTCCATCCTGATGTTTTAGATTATGAAGTAGAATTTTGACGCTATATAAAGCATACCATTGTTGGAATATGGTAAATGCATATGCAGGAGGACTTTTATACTTATTGGTAGAGAACGTCGCATTTAGTATTTCTATATTACACACTAACCAGTGCCACAATGAAGGACATTAAATGTAAGAAAGGGTGACCCAAGTCTTAGAGTACAATATTCTGATTTACTGTGTCCTCCTGATTTTCCTTGAGTTCACTGGATGCCAGACAGAGCATCAGATTACTACCTAGGAATAGTTCAAGAGAACTGTGGAGAAATTCTGAACTGCTTACCTGCTGGTTGTCAGCCAGTTGTCAAGGTGAGGTCTCTCCTGTGAAAAGAGACAACTGAAATGACACAGGTTCATGCACGGATTGGGATGGACAAAGATGGAAATAAAGATTTTTAAAAAATTTTTTCAAATTTTATGAATTCAAGTGTGCTAATTCCTCATATTCAGTGTTTTATTGATCATATAATGTGATATTGTAACAGCTTGATTTACATTAAACATCATTAAAGTACTGAACACTCAGATATTTCTCCATTTCCCTATTGTACGTGACCCCATACCATGCTCTATTGTAAAGCTTCTTCATCTTCCTTCACTTCTAGAGCACATTTTAAGGATTGAAGTCACTATTTTAAAAATGTAAACATGATTATGATCATAAAATTATTTACTAATATGTTTTCCAAAAGACTTAGATGAGTAAACCAGTTTCACTCATTGCACTTTTGAGGTATAATTTAAAATAACATGATTTTTTAAAAAAGATAAATTTGGCTTGAGTGATTCAATTCATTTCTAACTTTGTGTAAATAGAAACTGCTTAAAATAATGCTGACATCCATATTTTATATCATCTTTTTGATTTTATTTTGAAAAACATATTAATAATTATTGATTCTTATAGTTTGGGCAATTTGACAAGTATAGCTGTTTTAGAGCTATAAAGTTGGAAGTAGTATATTTTGTTTAATGACACAGTACTAGACAAGTTCTCTTGGATTATAGTTTTTGATGGCAGACATGAAATGACATTTAATTAATTTATTATAAGTTCAGATTAACAGAAAATTTACCAAGAGAGTAATGTTATAATTTTAAATAACCAAAGGAATATTTATTAAGAATATTAAAGAATAGTGGATACATTGCTCTTAACAGAACATATGATGATATTTAATTATTTTTTCTACTTCTGTCTTTTTTTCCCTAAGATTCAATGCAGGATAACTCATTGCATTCCAGACAATAACCCTTCAAAGGATTTAAAATAATAAACTGTGATCATATACATTATATTCTTCCTTGTTAATGTTTTAACACTAATTTTGGAAATCCCTTTTTTGATAAAAATAAGAGTTGTTTTGTTTATACTTAGTGATTTTTTAAAAATTAAATAGAATTGCTCTTAGACCACCTTGTAAGAAGAAAGTGGAGAGAGAATACATATTTAATTATAAGTTTAACATAGGGTCCTGTCTTTCTTTAAGACTCTGCTTGATTTGGTTTTCTGTTGCATGTGGGTTGAGAACAAAATAAAGCATGTAGGGTCTATAAAAAGTATCATGTACTTAAAAACATATTTATCACTGCATCTAAAAAATATGATACATTTTTATATACATTTGAAGATGTGTGACACACTATCAGCCTTAGTCATGGTGAGGCAGGAATTAGGAGTAAGCATGCTGTTATTTCTGTCTGGGTCAGGGGCTGTGGCAGCTTGTTCTCCCACACATTCCCTTCACCTGTGCTATGGACTACACTATCATTTCTACCTCTAGAGTCTAATCACATTCTCACAGGAGTCCTATTGATAGACATTCTAACTAAACCCAGATGCAGAAGTTTCACCTGAGGTTTATAGAATTTTAAGAAACTTTCTAAAATCCTATACAATTAGGTAAATATTGATAAGAGTTTGCAACTGGATTAAGTATTCTAAAAGCCATTATTTTAGATATCAATAATAAGCTTTCGGGTCTCAAATTCTACCAAAGTCTTAAATGCCATGCTAAATATAAGTATGCCTGTGTTGTTATAACTAAATTTCATGCTTTCCAATAAAATTTGGAAAAAATTAGAGATCATCTGATGGGTTTTTGGCATAACAATAATAACTGCTTAAACCTTGTGGGGATACATCAAAGCACCCAGACAGGATACTAAGAAAAGCAGGACCAATCTCATGGGATTTGCTTCTCTATCTGGTTGAATACTTTGTAAATTAATTGGCTCCCATCCTAAAAACATGTTGAAAACACTCTATATGGTATGTTATTGAAATGAGAAGTTTTCTACTAATATTTTTTTATATCATAATAGTAGATCTTGACATCATTGGATCAAGGATCCAGTGCCTTGAAGTTATAACCCCTATCTGCATTTATAAATTAAGACAGGGGAGATGTCATGAGCATTCCATGGGTTGTGTGTGGACTGTTGTGCATAGTAGCCTCCTGTGGGGATAAGTCTGGCACTGGGAACTCCCCATGGCACCCCCCACAAAGATGGACTGCCTGATGTAGGTGAACCTCCTGCTCAACCTCTACCTAAGATCCCTGAGATAGATGTGACTCACCAAGTTGTCAATCAAGATGCAAGACATCAGGAAGCAAGACTCCACCCTTGAAATCTTATTACTGCCTTTGATGTACTTCCTTAAGTAAACCACTAGAGCCATCTTTTCCCTTTGTCTAGTTCCAGAAGCCTTGTGGACTAGGTCTATCAGGGGCTTTGCATTATGTAAATATAATTCTGAGTAATATATGTTTTATTACTTATTAATTATCTGACATTGTAAGTTTTAGGGTGGCTTGGATTTTCCTGGGCAGAAAAGAAACCTGTAAAGAGATGCTGGCCATCATCCCCCCAAAATATCTCCTATGGTTCCTTACTTCTTTCCTGTTCATCTAAAGGAAAGGGCCTGAGTGTGAGGAATGTTCTTTGTAAGATCCCAGATCCAGCATCATTTGATTATTTAAACTTAATATCTCAAAGCATGTGTTTCCTACCAGTAAAATAGGTTTAATAAAACCTATATTATGCCCTAGACAGCGAGTTTTATGTGATTTCTCTCCTTGCCTTATTTCACAACATTGAAGCAAAGCTTTATTTTTTTCATGAAATTCAGTTCAGTTTTAAAGATGAATTTTTTAAAAAGCCTCAACGTTTAATGATGTGTTAACATCATTAACACATGATGTGTTAAGTGTGTAACTAGACACATTTTTATAAAGAAGAAATAAGCTGGGCACGGTGGAGCATGCCTGTAATCCTAGTGGCTCCAGGGGCTGAGATAGGAGGATCTCAAGTTAAAAGCCAGCTTCAGCAACAGTGAGGAGCTAAGCATTCATTGAAACCTTGTCTCTAAAAAAAAATACAAAATAGCTCTGGGGATGTGGCTCAGTGGATAAGTGCCCCTGAGTTTAATCCCTGGTACCAAAAAAAAAAAAAAAAAAAAAAGAAAGAAAAAAAAAGAAAATGAAATTAAATCAGGAAAGCCCCCAAATTCAGTTTAGATTTTGAAGAAACATTTGGGGTATAGATGACTTTTAAGTGCCTCCTAAAATGAATGATGTTTCTTCTTGTATTTTTACATATGAGAGTCTCTAGATCAGAGATGGTTTCATTTTCTAGGCACCCCTGCCCCTTTCATGAGAGTAACAAGCAGGACTAATAAAAGACTGTCCTCCTTTTTATGTATGGATGAGACTTCCTAATTCTGCCATGCGACCAGCTCTGGCTTCATGAAAGAAGGCTCAGTTCATAAGGAATTACTAGGGAGTTTTAAATTAAAGAGACAGACTCTCATTACCTTTAATATCAGCTCAGAGACAGCTTCTCCTAGTTCCCGCCTCCAGCCAACAGGTTTGCAGAAGAGACTAGCAAGAGAGAGAGAACACGCCAGGGAGTGAGCTTTTATTGGGGGACAAAAAATTCCTGGGAAAATCCCATCCAATGAAGGTTAAGGAGGGCAGCATCCCAAGGTCAAGGACGACGATTGGGTCTTCAGGTCAGTGGCCAGGCACACCAATGCACGGACAAGCCCTCGGACCTGGGAAAGGGTGGGGAAGGCTTTAACACAGCTGTGTCTAAGCGCCTCTTACCCAGCCAGGGAGGTAACTCAAATCACGTGTGAGGATGGCCTCCCACACCTAATGATACATTTAGGGAAGACACTAGTAAATTATCAAAGCTAGTATTTGAGTTAAAAATCACTAATCTTCTGTACTACATGAGGATGCTTCTATAGATGTTCTAGCAAACGTAAAGTACAGAATAATTGATCTCCAAATCAATTCTTCCTGATTTCTTAATAAGTATCTAAAATTGTGTTCTCAATGACAAAAGAAACATTAAAGCAAGGGTACATAGAGGTGTACTGAAATATTGATCACCATAAAATAATAAACTGATAAAAGCAAATCTTCCTTTATTGTAATTACAAAATGAATGTTAGCTATTTATATTCACCATTCCCTTGGAAATGGTGCAAAACCTAAGATACATAAATTTGGTTAAATTTGTTCTTTTGGGGATTTCACAGAATCCTGCTATTCAGAAAATATTCTTTGTTGTGTTTTTGTTGGTCTGCATTGCAACTGTTGGAGGCAACGAGCTGATTATAGTGACCATCCTCTGTAGCCCTGCACTGCTGGGCTGCCCCATGTACTTCTTCTTGGCTGTCCTGTCCTTCCTGGATGCCTGCTTCTCCTCTGTCATCACACAAAAGATGGTTGTGGGTTTCCTGTATGAGAGGAAATCCATCTCTTATAAAGAATGCATAAAGCAAGTGTTTGCTGATCACATTTTTACTGAGGTAGAGATGATTGTCCTCACAACAATGGCCTATGACCACTATGTGGCCATTTGCAAGCCCTTGCACTACTCTTCCATCATTAACTGGAGGCTCTGTGTCATTCTAGTGGGGGTGTCCTCGACAGGGGGCTTCTTGAATTCCATTATGCAGATTCTCATTACATTCCAGGTGCCCTTCTGGGGGCCGAACATCATTGATCACTTCATGTGTGACCTGTACCCATTACTGGAGCTGGCCTGCACTGAAACTCGTGTCCTAGGCCTTCTGGTGATCTCCAACAGTGGGTTAATCTGCATCATCAACTTCTGCTTGTTGCTGGTCTCCTATGGCATCATCTTGTTCTCCCTGAGAACTCACAGTGTTGAAGGGAGAAGGAAAGTTCTGTCCACCTGTGGATCTCACATTGCTGTTGTGGTTTTGTTCTTTGTCCTCTGCATATTTATATATGCAAGACCTCATTCTTCCTTCCCCTTTGACAAAATGGTGGCAATATTTTACACCGTCCTGACTCCCGTGCTCAGTCCTTTGATTTATACTTTGAGGAATAAGGAAGTGAAAAATGCCATGAGGAAAGTGCAGAAGAGACTAGTGGTGGTTTCCCATGAAAAATGAAACATTAGAGTTTACCAAAAAGGGTAAAAAATAAAGAAATCAATATGGTATTAGACCAAAATTTTATGCAACACTTATTGTCTATGAAGTAAAAAAGCAATTCTACAAAAATGGAAATACCCATTGGGTCAGAGATATTTTTACTTTCACAGCAGATATCTACTCTAGTTGGCAATTAAATATCCCAATAGGTAAATTAAGAAGAATTCAATTTTATCCACATATTGACTCTAATAATCAATAAAAGAATAGATAGAAAAATTATCTGTTAGATTGTTGGCCATTAATTGTGTAATTTCAAGAAAATATGTGGAGGATAGACAGAGATGTTAAATATTCAGGAAACAAACAGAGTGTATTTTAAATTAAAAATATTTACTGTTTATTATTATTACTACTTTTTGCAGTGCTGTTGAACAAACCCAGGGTCCCATGAACTCCAGTCAAGCACTCTGCTGATGAACTATGACCCCAGTGAACACAGGGAATCTTTTTTCCCCATTGACACTTTTTTTCTTTTCTCTTGTTCTATAGGTTTGTTTTATGTATAATGTGAAGATTCATTTTGACATAACTTAAAAAGCACAGAATATAATTTTCTCTATTTCTTTCTCCAGTATTGCTCCTTTCTCTCCTCTCTGCCCTCCACATGTTCCTTTCATTCTACTGATCCTTATGCTATTTACTTTTAGTTATTTTTGTTTTCAAATTAGGGTCTTTTGGATGTACATGGTGGTGAGATTCACTATGGCATATTTATACATCTACATAAGAAAATTATGTCAGATTCATTCCTCTGTTATTCCCTTATATCATCATTTCTCCCTCCTTCTCAGTCCCCTTCATCTAATTCCTGGGTCTTTCTTCTATTTTAATGGAATCTCTCACTGTTATCCCTTTCTCTTTCTCTGTATTTTTTTTCTCTGTTATTTTGTACTAGTTTCTGCATATTTAAGAAATCACTAAACCCTTGGTTTTCTGTGTCTGATTTATTTTACTTTGCAAGACACTTAAGTCTCTAGATTCTCAGTTGAGTTCTACCAGACCATCAATGAAGAACTTACACCAATACGCCTCAACTTATTCCATGAAACAGAAAAGAAGGGAACACTTCCAAACTCATTCCATGAAGATAGTATCACCCTGATACCAAAACCATACAAAGACACTTCAAGGGAAAAGAACTTTAGATCAAGATCCCTGATAAACATAGATGTAAAATTCTCAATAACATACTGGCAAACCATATATAAAAACATAGTAAAAAGATAGTGCACCATGTTCAAACAGGGTTCATTCCAGGGATAGAAGGTTAGTTCAACATATGGAAATCAATAAATGTAATTCACCAATTCACTAGACATAAACAGAAGAATCACACAATTATTTAATAGATGCAGAAAAAGCATTTAAAAAAATTGTCTTTCATTCACGCTCAAAACACTAGAGAAATGAGGGATAGTAGGAACACTCTTCAATATGTAAAATGGTATCTATATGAAACCCAAGGCCAACATAATTCTACATGGAGAAAAATTGAAAGCATTCCCTCTAAGAACTGGAACAAGACAGGGATGCCCTCTTTCACCACTTCTATTTAACATTGTTCTTGGACCTGAGCCAAAACAATTAGAACAAGGAAATAAAAGGGATACAAACAGGAAAATAGAGCTCCATCTGTAGAGAGAAGTGACTGAGATTGGGGGTCTGTGATGGCCTTGTGACTGTGGAGTGCCAGGTGCTTGGGAACATTTCTATGCAAGGGCACAGGATGCCTAGCTGTTATGGTAAAGCCCTGCCTGAGGAGGCTCTGTGCAAAAGTTTTATCAGCTTCAACACTGTCAGACACATATCTCCCAAGGATATAGGAATTCTCATGCTAGAAAACTGCAATGCTTCACCAGCTCTACTTACTCCTGAGCCTGCCCACTAATAGTAACTTTAAACAATGGACCTCCTTGAGTGCTACACAAAGCTCCTAAAGTTGAACACTGCAACTGTGGAACAGCTAGTTCTGTAACTTTCCTGAGTACAAAGATGTTTCTAGTTTCTAGTTGTGTAAGTTACTAGTTGTGTAACTTTCCAAAGTACAAAGAATAATGCTTGCATGGTCTTTAACCTGATAATAAGATATACATAAATAAAGATTGCTGGTATAACTCTTTAGATCTGCTTCTCCATCAAACAACAACACTCCACCCAATCCCAACTTTATCTTGTGTGTGTGTTTCTTTATCTTATAATCCCTCATTGCCCCTCACTGGTGGAGTCTGGCCATGCTGGTCATGGCATCCATCTATCCCTATTTGCTGATGACATGATTCTATATGTGAAAAATCCAAAAATACTCCACCAGAAAGCTTCTAGAATTCATAAACAAATTCAGTGAAGTAGCAGGATATAACAGTAATATCAATAAATCAATTATGGAATACAATAAATATAGGAATACATTAATGATGAATCAACTGAAAGAGAAATTAGGAAAGCTCCTCCATTCACAATAACTTCAAAACAAAAACAAAAACAAAACCCTTCGAAATCAATGTAACAAAAGAGGTGAGAGGCCTCTACAATAAAAACCACAGATAACTAAAGAAAGAAATTGAAGTTCTTAGAAGATGGGAAAATTTCCCATGTTCTTGGGTAGGCAAAATTAATTTTGTCAAAATGGCCATACTGCCAAGCACTATACAGATTTAGTGTAATTCCTAATAAAATTCCAATGGTGTTCTTTTCTTCATAGAAATAGAGAAACCAGTCATGAAATTCATTTGGAAAAATAAGATGCCCAAAATAGCCAAAGCAATGCTTAGCAAGAAAAGTGATGCAGGAGGCATCAATGTTTATAGTAGCTCATTCACAATAGCAAAGCTATGGAACCAACATCATACACTCGAAAACTCAAACATATTTTCATTATTTTAATGCTCAACATTTCATTGTGGGCTATGTAGTTACATACAAGGAGAAAATCCACTAACATTAAGTAGAGGAATAAATAATTATGAAAAGCATCTACCCAACTTTTATCATTCCTACTGGTTTGATGAACAGAGTAAATTAAAATTCTCTTAAAAATGAGTATTGCTTTAGCTCTCCATTTTGTTTTCTATGTACCTTAGCTTAGGCATGATGCAGCACATTCCAATGTTTTTACCTTTTAGGCAATGTAACTATTGTAGTAACACTAAGTCCACCTATTACACTTTCTGTAGCTATTCAAACAATACAGTGTGGTAATGTAAAACGTGTGAATCTAGAAAAAGTGTCTGGATATCTGAATGAAGAAAATACAGAACAAGATCCTAATTTTAAAAATTATTCAGAAATGAAATTTTGTGAAATCATAAGTCAGATAGTTTTTTACTTCGTTCACCATGTTGCAATGGTTGTCTTTCCCAAACTTCTCTGTCTTTACCATGGATCCTGGATTACTGTTATATCATGGGTATTACCCTATCTGATTCCCAGATTATCTTTCTTTTGTGGCTCTAAGGAAAAATTTCATTATTTTCCTTTTGGCTCTGACTCCTCTCCTCCTCTAAACATTTAAATATTTTGTTCACTATTATTTTTAAATACACATATTCTCTTTGAGCCATTCTGAAGACTGAATCCATTTTTATTAGTCAAGAAATTTCATCAACATGTACATTTTCTCTCTTAATTGTCTATGGTTTCTTGAATTTATGTTTGCTCTCCCTACATGGTTGGATTGTGGGGCTTAGTGTGGCATGTGAGGTGTTGTATTAGAGAGCCACTTCATGAAGTTTGAAATCTCAGGTTCTCATCCTGGATCTCTGACTTCTCTCTACAAAACACTTATCACCCAGTTTAGCCTGCTCTGGGCAGAGCAGGTATATTTTAAAATCTTATAAATAAAAATTGTCAAAGCAAAAAGGAGACAATGATACATTTAGAGTTTGTGTGATTCATTTCACGCACACACATTTTAATAGTGGAAAACTATTAAGTAAATTGCTTGCATGGTGCAATATGGGAAGGCATTTCTGAGGAGCTGGTATTTAAACTGGTGCTGTGTCCACAGTATAAATGGAGAGTGGAGGTGAGAGCAGAAGGATTGATGATGTGAGACAGGGAGTGATCAGGGAATGTATTCAGGAGGGACAGCAGTTGTTAGCCTGAAACATGGATGAGCTCAAGTTCTAGGAGGACAAGTGGAAAGGCAGATGGTGGTACAGGCAGCTTTAAAAATCATGGTGAGCATCTCAAACAGTGCATCTGAAATCTGCAGTAATTATTTCATTATGTTTAAGAATCATATATTTTAACTGCCCTCTTTCACTTTTCAAGTGACAGAAAGGAAGAGCTGGGAGTAGTTGAAAAAGTGATGAGAATTTGTATTACTTGAATTTTCTCCTTCTCTAGAGAAATCAAATAAGCACCTCAATAAAAGCCTGGGAGGATTTACTTGAAGGATTATAGGGTTGATGATTATCACACTGGGATTTGTAACATCTCAGCCTGAATGGTTGGTCTGTAACCTCCAATGATTTTCACAACGAAAACCAAGGGTATCTCATTCAAAGTGAAGAAGATTTTTGTCTGCCCTTAAACCGTGTGCAACTCTTTATATAATATATGAGTACCAAAGAATATGCTGACCTGTTTCCTAGCTCTGATAATATAAAAATAAAAATAAAGATAAAGAAAGATGGTTAGTGTTTTCATACCCACAGATAACACTTGATAGTAAGTTCTTTTGAGCCTTCAATGAGAAAGAAATGGGCAAGTCCAAACCTACTGATAGATGGGATTGGGATGTCCTCACTCCAGTCTTTATTTTATAGGGGCCACCATGAGTCAGCTTGTATATTTTTCCCACAGTAACTAATATTGTGGGGAATAGAAAGATGGATGTCTTCAGTGGGTGTCTGGCATCTGACAAGATGTAGGATCTTCATTATGGATGATTTCTAAGTCCAATTGTATGTAACATAGGTAAATAAGACAGAGAGAGAAAGAGAGAGAGATAA